CCCTCCAGGTTAAACTGCTCCAGAGCCTGGGCCTGCAATCAACCCTCATCACCGATGGCTCCACTCCCATCAACCTCTTCAACACCGCCTTGGGTCTGCTGGGGGTGGGTGCTGAGGCCCAGCCTCAAGGCAAGAAGATGGCTGGTGGACCCAGACCTCAAAAAGGCCTACTTCTCCAGGGCCCTCCTTCTGCCCCAGCTGTTGAAAGCGACCACATTGTGCCTTAGCTCTGTACTGCACTGACAAATAAAGCAGGCATTTCTGAGCATTTCCATCTTTTTCTTTCAGGTAAAAGCTTAGTGCCGGGGACCCACTCCCTTTGAGTCAATTCTGACGCATAGAGACCTTCTACAACAGCGGTTCTCAACCTGTGGGTCGTGACCCCGTGGGGGGTGGAACGATCCTTTCACAGGGGTCGCCCAATTCATAACAGTAGCAAGATGACAGTTTATGAAGTAGCAACGGAGATCATTTTATGGTTGGGGGTCACCACAGCATGAAGAACTATATTCAAGGGTGGTGGCATGAGGAAGGTGGAGAACCACTGCTCTACAGGGTTTCTGAGGCTGTAAGTTTTGCAGGAGTAGAAAGCTTCCTCTTTTCCCCATGGTGCAGCACGTGGGCTTGAACCACTCATCTGGACAGCGCCACCAGGGCTCCTTAATGGTGAGGGGAGTACTGCTGAAACTGTGGAACGTACAGGGAACTACGCTCATTGTTAAATGGAGAGGAAGCTCAGGCAGAGAGACTAACCATTCACCCTCCAAAGCCTTACCTATCAAGCCAGACCCGCCCTTTTGGTAGGTAGTCATTGGTGGGGAGAGAATGCTGCAGGCAGGAGGAGGCCTGTCTGCTACCTCCTTCCGGAGGGCTCCTGAACTGGCAACAACTTCTCACTGCCCATTCCTCCTGCTGCCCAACAGATGCCCATCCCTCATCCCTGTCCCCCACCTGGCCAACATTTGGGAGGCCACTTTGGCGCCACCTACTGGTCATGCCTGGCACCTTCAAGGACTACTCATGGACTGTGTGCAGGTCCTCCTCAGGTGGCCTCCCAAACCCAGGAAATGATCTGGGCACATTGGAGCTGGAGTGGCTCTCTGGGCTGCCAGGCTGGGTTCTTTAGACACATGGCGGGGAGAGTACACCTTTTCCCTACCCCACAACCAGCTGGTGGTAGCAGTTTTGAACCACACGATCATCTGGATAGATGCAGAGAAGGCATTTCACGACATTCAACACCCTTTCATGATGAGGTGCAAACAGGGATAAAGGGGAACTTCCTCTTTATGAAAAGCTTACAGCTCACACAGTGAAGATCGCCATGGCAAAGATGCCAGTGGTCACCAACGTGGGTCCGTATGACCCAGCCAGAACGATGGGGGGGACACAAGTATCCACATTTGAACGGGAAAACCCCTTTTTCACAGATGACACACTCCTGTATATAACCCCATCTCCCCTACCCCAACCATCAAAAAGCTGTTGGAAATGAATTCTGCCTAGAGGCAGGGCATAAAGTTCAACTTGAAAGCCGTCGGGTCTTTGATACATGGGGATGATCAAGTGGCAACACTAAGGAAACATGACATGCACAATGCCATTTAAAAGAAGTACCGAAGAAGAAATTCAGGAAGGTGAGAGACGTGTATCCAGAAATTTATAAAACTTAACTAAGAGGAATGAAGACCTAAATATTTAAGACCTAAATAAAAAGACAATTCAGGCTTGTGGGTTGGAAGGGTTACTATGCTTAACATGTCAATAATAACCAAGGCAATCTATGAATGCAATGTAATCCCCCTTAAAGTCCCCACCGTTTTCTTGGCTTAAATGTAAAAACCAATCTTCAAATTTATATGAGAGGGTAAAGACTCCAAACAGCTAAAGCAATCTTAAAGAATGAAGTAGGACTCCCACACCCTGATTTCAAGGCACGCTATAAAGCCACTGTAGCTAACACAGCATGGGACTGGTATAATAATAGACCTAGGGGCTAATGGGATAGAACTGAGAATCCAGAACAAAATCCACACATGGACGGTGAGTTGCATTTCAACAAGTGTGCTAGGTCCATCCGATAGGAAAAGGAAAGTCTCTTCAATACATGAAAATCAGAGTGAAACCAACCCTCACACGACACAGACAACTCAAAGTGCATCAAGGACCGAAACATGAAAGCTAAAACCATCAAATTCTTAGAAGGAAATGTAGGGTGAGGCTGTGGGATCTAAGTGTGTGTGATGGGCTTTCAGATATGGCCACATACAAATAGCAACAGACGAATAAACGGGACCTCAGAAAAAGTAAACAGGTTGGCCACTGACTTACATCATATTTGAATTACAATGAATTACATTTACAACCATCTTTTTTCAAAATCTTACTGTTAATCATAGGTACTATTTACAGTGTTGCAACATGCGGTGTCATTATATTTGTAAGTTTGTATGTGTGATGTTTCTAGCTCCCAAAAATAAAATTTATATAGATACTGATCATAAAATGTAATAATAATGAAACCAAGAGAGAGAGAGCTATTGAAAAAAGTGAAAAAATAATCTAGATGGGGAGAAATTGTCAACAAGGTCTAATATCCTAAAGGTATAAAATACTTTACACTCAATAACAAAAAAAAAAGATACAACCCAACTGAAAAAAAGGAGCAACAGATTTCAATCAATAGTTCACCAAATGTATATTCAAATGACCAACAAACACATGAAAGGATGCTCAACCTCATTAGTCATTAACCTGTTGGTTTGCTTTTTTTCAATAATTTTAAATTGTGAATTAGGTGGGGGTGGGGGGAGTTTGCATTTCAGACCATCCCCTGTGCATTCAACAGTTCAAAACCCCTCCTCAAAGCCCCCACATTCTACCCCACCTGTTGTTTTTGAGTTGACCCTAACTCATACAAACCCTCTAAGTCGGAGCTGAACTGCCCCATACTGTTTCCAATCTTGACAGTGTGTGGCCACATCTTTCTAGTAAGGACCAGCTAGGAAGTTTGAACTGCAGGCCTTTAGGAAGATGCAAATCAAAACCCACAGTGAGATCAGAGCTCATCCCCATTAGAACGCAATGATCAAACGACTCGTGAGGGCGGGTTTGTGGAGAAAGAAACACTCACCCACTGCTGGAGGGGCTCTAAACTGGAAGAGCTGATCGGTCTTCACAAAGTCGAACACCACATGGTCCAATGAGCCTGCTCCGACGTGCACAGTGTGCATCGCAGCATGTCCCTCAACAGCCAAAAGGTAGAAGCAACTGAAATGTCCATCAATGGATGAATGAATAAACAAAATGTGTGTGTGTGTGTGTTTTAGACTGGGTTGACTAGAGAAACAAATCCAGGGACACCCATATATGCATAAGAAAGAGCTTTATATCTGTGTGAGTCTGGGTACATTAGAGCAACAAATCCACAGAAACTCATATGTATAAGAGAGAGTTTTGTATAAAGGGTAAGTGCACATCAAGAAAACATCCCAACCCAGTGCTGCCCAGCCCACAAGTCCAACATTAGCCCATATGTCCTACATCAATCCACAAAGTCCTCCTCCGTCTCACAAAACACATGCAATGATACGACTGCAGGAGGAAAGCCGAATCAGTGAATGTGTAAGCATCTCAGCGCTGGCAGGGATCTCCACACAGCTGCTCCAACACCCAGGGCTGCATTGGGGTAAGTCCATGTGGCTTCTCCTCAGGGATGTCTTGCAGGAAGTCAGCCTTGCCAGTTGAAGCAGGCAACTGGCTAAGGCAGCTGCAGCCTGGTCCGACCATCAGAAAGCAAGAGACCCAAGAACTGGAAAGGTGAGGCTCACTGAGCCATTTATCCCTCTGCCCTTCAATTAACCCCACATGTTTATCAGCCAGGTTGGCACAATAAACTAACTACCTCAATATCAAAAAGTAATTGTATATTAAGAAAACACCCCCCCAAAGAAAAAGAAAACATCTCAGTCCAGATCCCAGATCAAGTCCAATATTAGCCCATAAGTCCCACATTAGTCCAAAACTTCCTCTTTAGACTCATGCAGCCATACACAATGATGCAGAATGCAGGAAGCTCACAGACCAGCAGGGACAAAGTCTTGTAGCTCCAATGGCAGTGGACGCATCTCCAGGGCTCTGGCTGCCTTCACTGTGGCTCAGTGGCTCATCAACAGGAAAGGTGAAGCGTGGCTTGTCAACAGGAAGATGGAGGCAGAAAGAAGTTCCCAGAATCCACACGAGAAGGCCATGCCCACAAGGGGGCATCAGCAGGCTGAGACCTGATTGACAAGCCAAACTCCACCCCTTCACTCTTCATACCCTCAATTGACATGAGATTATGTAACTACCATAATGTGTGTGTGTGTGTGTGCGTGCATAATGGAATATTAATCATAAACAAAACTGAAGTCCATGATACACACCTGGATAAAGTGGAAAATATCATGCTAACTGAAATAAGTGGGTCATAAAAGGACAAATATGATCATGATCCCACTTATATAAAAGAACAAGTATATAAAAACCCAAGTTATTACTGGCTACCAGAGAGGAAAGGAGGGAAGAGGGAGAATTTCTGCTTGGGGTCAGTGAGTTTGTTAATAGTGGTGGCTATCTGGGGAAAGGGACAGAGAGTGGATGTACAGCTTGAAGACTGTCATTAGTGTCTGCCGTGCCATGAATCACTCCATGGGGCCCTTCGGGTTACAGTCTTTGTGACGTCCATCAAATGACTGGGTAGGACTATGCAAATGTGAGATGCTTGTGGGTCACCGATTGGATTAGAAAGCTTGCTAATAACGTAAATAAGGTACATGGCACCCTTGCGAGGTGAGCCCGTGAAAACAAGGTGTATGAAACTTCATGAGGGGATTGGTCCAAGAAGAGTCAGCCCAGAGGCGGAAAGGGAGGCTCTCACTATTGTCAAGCAAGGAGAGCCATGAATAGCCAAGAGTGGAACCCATCTATTGGCGCCAGGAACCCTGTGCTGAGGGGCAGAGAGCCGTGGTACTAGAGAGGGAAAGAGATGGTGAAAAGGAGCGATGGGGAAATGCGAGACACAGTGGCCAAGGGCCCCCAGCTCAGAGTGGGAAAGCCAAGTGCCTTGGCTTGAGGTTTGCTGGCTGAGTGGGTTCCCCCAGGCACTTCATTGGTGGGAGGTACTAGGTTTGCTAAATCACGGAGTTAGACAAGGTTTGGCAAGCCTGATGGCTCACCCCCACTCCCTGAGGCACACTGACAGAATGGAACACCTTTGAGCATTTATCA